TTCCTGGGAAATCAAACTCCAAGAAAATCCACTTTCCTGGGACTTTAGAAGTCAGGAAAATCAGCTTTCCTGGGAAATTGAGCAGCAGGAAAAGGCACTTTCCTGGGAAATCAAACTCCAGGGAAAGCTGCTTTCCTGGGAAATCAAACTCCAAGAAAATCCACTTTCCTGGGAAATCAAACTCCAAGAAAAGCCGCTTCCCTGGGAAATCAGATTCCCAGAAAATCCACTTTCCTGGGAAATCAAACTCCAAGAAAATCCACTTTCCTGGAAAATCAAACTGCAAGAAAAGTCACCTTCCTGGGAAATCAAACTCCAGGTAAATCCACTTTCCTGGGAAATCAGATTCCCAGAAAATCCACTTCCCTGGGAAATCAAACTCCAATAAAAGCCACCTTCCTGGGAAATCAAACTCCAGGTAAATCCACTTTCCTGGGAAATCAAACTCCAGGTAAATCCACTTTCCTGGGAAATCAGATTCCCAGAAAAGCCACCTTCCTGGGAAATCAGATTCCAAGAAAATCCACTTTCCTGGAAAATCAAACTCCAAGAAAATCCACTTTCCTGGAAAATCAAACTCCAGGTAAATCCACTTTCCTGGGAAATCAAACTCCAAGAAAAGCCACCTTCCTGGGAAATCAGATTCCAAGAAAATCCACTTCCCTGGGAAACTGGGCACCCAAACCCAGCTGTTTTGAAAAACCAAACTCCAGCAAAATCCCCTTTCCCACCTTTCCCAAACCCAAACCAACCCCCCGCCCTAATCCCGCTATTCCTGGGATGAAAATTCCCAATTTTTCCCACTCACTTGGCTCTTCTCTCCTCCTGCATTTGGGGTTTGGTCCTCTGGGCTTTGTCCCCCATTCGGGTCCCCTCGAGTTTCCCCACCAGGGACAGAACCTCGCCCGTGGGCTCGTCCCGGCGCGTGCGGTCGATCAGCGAGCGGTCGGCTTGCAGCACCAGGTTGGAATTCTGGGGGGGAAAAAACGGGAAAAATGGGATGTGGGTGAGAGGGAGAGAGGGGGAAATGGGGATGAGGGGGTGGAGTGGGGATGGGGGGAGGTTAAGGGGGGGGAGAATGGGGTTTGAGGGGTGCGAAATGGGGTTTGGGGGGGCTCAAAATGGGGTTTTGGGGGCTTAAAATGGGGATTGGGGTGATAAAATGGGGTTTTGGGGGATTAAAATGGGGTTTGGGGGGCTTAAAATGGGGTTGGGAGGTTGTAAAATGGGGTTTGGGGGTTGTAAAATGGGATTGGGGGGCTCAAAATGGGGTTTTGGGGGCTTAAAATGGGGATTGGGGTGATAAAATGGGGTTTTGGGGGATTAAAATGGGGTTTGGGGGGCTTAAAATGGGGTTGGGAGGTTGTAAAATGGGGTTTGGGGGTTGTAAAATGGGATTGGGGGCTCAAAATGGGGTTTGAGGGGTGGGAAATGGGGTTTGTGGGGCTCAAAATGGGACCTGGGGGTCTCAGAATGGGATTGGGGTCACAAAATGGGATTTGGGGGTTGCAAAATGGGGTTTGGGGGGCTCAAAATGGGGTTTGGGGGGCTCAAAATGGGGATTGGGGTCACAAAATGGGATTTGGGGGTTGCAAAATGGGGTTTGGGGTTTGTAAAATGGGGTTTGGGGGGCTCAAAATGGGGTTTGGGGGTTGTAAAATGGGATTGGGGTGCTCAAAATGGGTTTTGAGGGGTGGGAAATGGGGTTTGGGGGGCTCAAAATGGGACTTGGGGGATCTCAGAATGGGATTTGGGTCACAAAATGGGATTTAGGGGTTGCAAAATGGGGTTTGGGGGGCTCAAAATGGGGTTTGGGGGGCTCAAAATGGGGATTGGAGTCACAAAATGGGATTTGGGGGTTGCAAAATGGGGTTTGGGGTTTGTAAAATGGGGTTTGGGGGGCTCAAAATGGGGTTTGGGGGTTGTAAAATGGGGTTGGGGGGCTTAAAATGGGGTTTGGGGGTCGTAAAATGGGATTTGGGGGATCTAAAATGGGGTTTGGGGGCGTAAAACGGGGTTTGGGGGGCTCAAAATGGGGTTTGGGGGTTGTAAAATGGGGTTGGGGGGCTTAAAATGGGGTTTGGGGGTCGTAAAATGGGATTTGGGGGATCTAAAATGGGGTTTGGGGGCGTAAAACGGGGTTTGGGGGGCTCAAAATGGGGTTTGGGGGTTGTAAAATGGGGTTGGGGGGCTTAAAATGGGGTTTGGGGGTCGTAAAATGGGATTTGGGGGATCTAAAATGGGGTTTGGGGGCGTAAAACGGGGTTTGGGGGGCTCAAAATGGGGTTTGGGGGTTGTAAAATGGGGTTGGGGGGCTTAAAATGGGGTTTGGGGGTCGTAAAATGGGATTTGGGGGTTCTAAAATGGGGTTTGGGGGTGTAAAACGGGGTTTGGAGGGCTCAAAATGGGGTTGGGGGCTCAAAATGCGGTTTGGGGGGCTCAAAATCGGATTTAGGGGCCTCAAAATGGGATTTGGGGTCACAAAATGGTGTTTGGGGTCGCAAAATGGGATTGGGGGGCTCAAAATGGGGTTTGAGGGTCGCAAAATGGAGTTTGGGGGGCTTAAAATGGGATTGGGGAACTCAAAATGGGGTTTGGGGAACTCAAAATGGGATTTAGGGTCACAAAATGGGGCTGGGGGTCCCAAAGTGGGAATGAGGGGGTCTCAAAATGGGACTGGGAGAAGTCCAAGGAGTCCCAAAGTGGGACCGGGGTCTCCAAATGAGGCTGAAGGGGGGCCGGGGTACCCCAAAAACGGGGCCGGGGTACCCCAAAAACGGGCTCAAGTGGCCAGAAATAGGACTGGGAGTCCCCAAATGGGGCTGAGGGGGGCCCGGCACGAGGCTGAGGGGGACCCGAAATGGGTCCCAAAGGCCACGGTACCGCGCCGAGCTCGCGGTAACGGGAGGGGTTTCAGGGCACCGGGCACGCACTTACCGCCTTGTACTCATACTGCAGGCTGCGGGCGGTCACGTCCGCCATGGCTGCACCGGGAGCGGGGCCGGGAGCGGGAACCGGAGCGGGAGCGGGAACGGGACCGGGGCCTGGGGAGGCCGCGCCTCAGCCGCACCGGAAGCTCCCTCAGCAGAACTTCCGGGTCAGGCGCGTGCCGAAAGTGAGCCTGATCTCGCGAGAGCGAGTCTCCGCCTATACGTCATTCTGATTGGTTAATACCCGCTAAATCCCGCCTCTCACGCAGAGAGCTGTCTGTGATTGGTCGGATCGCCAGCCCGCCACGCTTTGATTGACGTTTGAGCGCCTGAGGGGGTTCGAATGCGACCGGGCGGGGCAGTGGGCGGGGTCACCGCGAAAGCCGCAGCTTCCTATTGGTTGTGCGTAAGCCACGCCCCCTCTGACCACGCCCCTTTCCGGTGAGGCCTCACGTGGTGCCCAAAGAGGGGTCGCGACCCCCCCAAGCTGTCCCCGGGGAGCTCCCGGTGCCACAAGAAGGGCTCTGGTCACCCCCACATTGTGCTCACTGGGCATCGGGGGGTCCCTGGGCACCGGGGGGACCCTGGGAAGTGGGGGGGCTCTGGGCATTGGGGGGACTTTGAGCATCGGGGGGTCTTTGGGCATTGGGGGGTCCATGAGCATCGGGGGTCCCTGGGAATTGGGGGGACCCTGGGAATTTAGGGGTCTCTGGGCATTGGGAGGACTCTGGGCATTGGGGGGTCTTCGGGTATTTGGGGGGACCCTGGGCGTCGGGGGGTCCCTGGGCATTGGGTGGTCTCTGGGCACCCAGACAGGATTCCTGGTGGGATTCCCAGGTAGGATTCCAACAGGATTACCAGACAGGATTCCCAGGTAGAATTCCTGGACAGGATTCCCAGACAGGATTCCCAGACAGGATTCTCAAGTAGGATTCCCAGACAGGATTCCCGGACAGGATTCCCAGACAGGATTCCCGGACAGGATTCCCAGACAGGATTCTCAAGTAGGATTCCCAGACAGGATTCTCAAGTAGGATTCCCAGACAGGATTCCCAGACAGGATTCCCAGACAGGATTCCCGGACAGGATTCCCAGACAGGATTCCTGGACAGGATTCCCAGACAGGATGCCCAGACAGGATTCCCTGACAGGATTCCCTGACAGGATTCCCAGACAGGATTCCCGGACAGGATTCCCAGACAGGATTCCCAGACAGGATTCTCAAGTAGGATTCCCAGACAGGATTCTCAAGTAGGATTCCCAGACAGGATTCCTGGACAGGATTCCCAGACAGGATTCCCGGACAGGATTCCTGGACAGGATTCCCAGACAGGATCCCCTGGTCAGATGTTCCAGGCAGGGATCCTGGACAGGATTCCCAGGCAGGGAAGGATTCTTGGAATCCTGGGAATGGATCCCGGACAGGTATCCCGGGAACGGATCCCGGACAGGTATCCCGGGAATGGATCCCGGACAGGTATCCTGGGAATGGATCCCAGACAAGCTGAACTGGGATTGGCCAAACTGGGCTGAGCTGAGCCAAACTGGGATGGGTAAAACCAGGCTGAGCTGAGCTGGGTTAAACCGAGCTGAGCTGAGCTGAGCCAAACCGGGTTGAGCTGAGCCCGGTGAACTGGGCTGAACTGGGCTGATCCAAACTGGGTTGAGCTGAGCCCGGTGAACTGGGCTGAACTGGGCTGAGCCCAACTGGGTTGAGCTGAGCCTGGTGAACTGGGCTGAACCGGGCTGAGCCCAACCAGAACACTCTGAACTGGGCTGAGCCCAACCAGGACACTCCAAACTGGGCTGGACTGGGCTGAGCCCAACCAGAACACTCCGAACTGGGCTGAGCCCAACCAGGACACTCCGAAGTGGGCTGAACTGGGCTGAACTGGTTCTGGATCGGGCCCAAACCGAGCCAAGCTGGGCTGAGCTTGGTTGAGCCAACTGGTTCCAGTTAGACCCGACTGGTTCTGAGCCGAGTGGACACGGCTGCGACTGGACCGGGGTCTGACCCGAGCCGAGCGGTTCCGATCTGACCCGAGCCGAGCCGAGCGGTTCCGATCTGTCCCGATCCGATCAGAGCAGTTCCGATCTGACCCGAGCGGTTCCGATCTGTCCCGATCCGATCAGAGCAGTTCCGATCTGACCCGAGCGGTTCCGATCTGACCCGACCCGACCCGACCCGCACCCCCCTCCCCTGAGGGGCGCCCGTGACGTCACGGGCGGGGCGGGGCCCCGCGGAGCCGCGCGGCGCGCTCCCGCCGCCGCCCCTCACGGCCGCTCCCGCCTCCCGCGCCCCGGCCGGGCCCCCCCCGCGCCCCCCGCCCCGCTCCGCCGCCTCCCTCCGCCGCCCCGCCCGGGCTCCCGCCCCGCTCCGCCGCCTCCCGCCGCTCGCCGCCCCGCCCGGGCCCCCCCCCGACCCCCCGCCCCTCACGGCCGCCTCCCTCCCCGCCGCCGCCGCCGCCGCCGCCGCGCCCTGAGGTGAGTGCGGGCCCCCCCCGCCCCGCCCCGCCTCGGTATTGTTGTGGCGGAGCCGCGGGGGCGGGAGGAGGAGGGGGAGGCGCTTTGTTCCTGCCGGTACCGGGGATCGCCACCGGCTCCCCCCCCCCCGCCCGTGGATGGGGGGGGCCGGAATCCCCCTCACGGCCGCTCGGATCCGTCGGTGCACCGGGAACCCCTCCCCCCCCCCCGGTACGGGGATCGGGGGGGGGGCGCGGGGGCGTGTGGGGACCCCCGGGAAGGGCGGGCAGCGTGGTGGGGACCCTGAGGTGGCACCGTTGTGGGGACCCCGGGTGGCACCCCCGGCCCCTCAGGCCACTCGCGGGTGTCCAGCGCTGAACTTGGGGACCGCGGGGACACCGGCCTGCCTGAGGGCGCCTGTCCCCGCTTCGGGGGACCCCGGCCGTGCCCAGGGCACCCCGGCTTTGCCCAGGGCACCCCGATGGTGCCCGGGACACCCCGGGCACGGCCGTGGCCTGTGGCACCCTCGCTGTGCTTTTGTCCCTGTCGCCGTGCCTGTTGCACCCCGGCTGTGCCTGTTGAACCCCAGCCGTGCCCACGGCAGCTTGGCCATGGCTGTGGCACCCTGCCTGTGCCCAGGGCACCCCAGGTTTATCTGTGGCACCCCAGATTTACCTGTGGCACCCCAGATTTACCTGCTGTGCCCCCCCCGGCTGTGCCCGTGGCACCCCGGCCGTGACCGTGACACCCCGTCTTTGCCTGTGGCACCCCGACTCTCCCTGTGACACCTCAGCGGTGTCCCCGGCACCCTGTGCTGTGCTCGTGGCACCCCCTTTTTTCCCCTGGCACCCCAGATGTTCCCATGGTACCCCAGATGTTCCGTGGTACCCCAGCTGTGTCCGTGGCACCCCAGATGTTCCCGTGGTACCCCAGATGTTCCCATGGTACCCCAGATGTTCCCATGGTACCCCAGATGTTCCGTGGTACCCCAGCTGTGTCCGTGGCACCCCAGATGTTCCCGTGGTACCCCAGATGTTCCCATGGTACCCCAGATGTTCCCGTGGCACCCCAGATGTTCCCGTGGCACCCCAGCTGTGCCCGTGGCACCCCAGCTGTGCCCTTGGCGCCCCAGATGTTCCCGTGGTACCCCAGATGTTCCTCTGACACCCCAGCTGTGCCCATCACACCCCAGATGTTCCCCTGGCACCCCAGATGTGCCCATCACACCCCAGATGTGCCCGTGGCACCCCAGATGTTCCCCTGACACCCCAGATGTGCCCGTGCCACCCTCACCCCCCCCGCCCCAGGAAGCCCGGCTGGGGTGTCCCCCATTCCCACAGCCATTCCCGGCCCCCCACCCTCCCGGAAATCCTTCCCGAGCCGTCACTGGGGGCCCCCCCCGAGCCCCCCCAACTTCCTGCTTCCCTCCGGGCAGGGCAGAACAATTCCCAGCCGCATCCTGCCCGGCCCGGGGCACCGGGGGCGGGAGGAGCACGGCGGGGGCACCCCCGGGGCATCCCGGGCAGGACGCGGTGGGGAGGGGGAGGTTGGAAACGGCCGGGTCCCGTTTCCTGCTCCGGAGGGACCTTGGGGAGGGGAGGGGGAGCAGGCTCGGGGTGCCCCCGAGGCTTCGGGGCGCCCCCAAACTCGTGACAGCGCTGCCTCAATGCCGCCTTGTCCCCTCGCCGCCCGCGTGACGCCGCCGCTGCCCCGCGGAGCTGACCGGGCCACGGTGTGGCCGTGTCACCCCGCAGGGACCCCGCGCTGTCCCCCCCGGGCCGGCGCCATGGCCCTCGCCGCGCTGCTGGCCCTCGTCACCGCTGCCACCAGCGCCGCTGCCACCCCGGGGGTGTCGTGGAGTGCTGTGCCCAGGAGGACTGTCCCCTACGCCGGTGAGTACCGCAGCGGGGTTCGGGGGGGTTGGTTGTGTCCCTTGTCACGGTGGGGTGACACGGTGGTGGTGGCTGTTGTCCCCCCGACTGTGTATGTCGGCGCTGTGGGGTGGGTGTCCCCAAGACTGGGGTCTGTGGGGACACATGGGGGACGTGCAGGGATGGTGCTCTGTGTGCCCAGCCCTGTGCTGGTGCCTGGGGGCCACTGCCCTGTGCCGTGTCCCTTGTCCCCATCCCTGTGCCGTGTACCCTGTGCCATCCCTGTGCCGTGTCCCTTGTCCCCATCCCTGTGCCGTGTCCCCTGTGCCATCCCTGTGCCGTGTCCCCTGTCCCATCCCTGTGCCGTGTCCCTTGTCCCATCCCTGTGCCGTGTACCCTGTGCCATCCCTGTGCCGTGTCCCTTGTCCCCATCCCTGTGCCGTGTACCCTGTGCCATCCCTGTGCCGTGTCCCTTGTCCCCATCCCTGTGCCGTGTACCCTGTGCCATCCCTGTGCCGTGTCCCTTGTCCCCATCCCTGTGCCGTGTCCCCTGTCCCATCCCTGTGCTGTGTCCCTTGTCCCCATCCCTGTGCTGTGTCCCCTGTGCCGTGTCCCCTGTGCCGTGTCCCTTGTCCCATCCCTGTGCCATGTCCCCTGTGCTGTGTCCCCTGTCCCCATCCCTGTGCCGTGTCCCTTGTCCCATCCCTGTGCCATGTCCCCTGTCCCAGCCCTGTGCCGTGTCCCCTGTCCCAGCCCTGTCCCCTGTCCCCATCCCTGTGCCAGGTCCTTTGTCC